GGGGGAGATGGATGGCACACAAATTTAAGAATGAATGAATGAATGAATGAATGAATGAATGAATGAATGAATGAATGTCTATATATCTGAATGGCTGTATGTCTAGGAAAATGAACGATACTGTCCCGCAGTTTGTATCTTAATGATGTTAAACAGGTTTATTCTTTAAAGCTTTTAATGGTATCTTAATGATGTTAAACAGGTTTATTCTTTAAAGCTTTTAATGATTTCTGTGGGTTATTTTTTTTTAATACTTTTTTTTTTTAACTTTGTAAGCCGCCCAGAGTCACGGTAGTGAGACAGGTGGCCGTGTACATTTATTAATACAAATAAATAAATAAACAAATACATTCCAGTGTGCAGCATAAAGTGACTGCCCAAGGATGCACATCCATTTGATGACCGAGCCAGGAATTTGAACACTGCTCTCTCTGTGCTACTCCACCATGAATTCCACACCACTCCTCCTCTTAAATCCTTGCTCTCTGATAATAAGGGACCTTTCCTCCTCTTTAGTTTCTGCGTGATAATAGAAACTGGATTTTGCAGTTGCATAGCATACTACATAGAAAGACTGAAACGGATGTTGCGTTCCATTTGCTGCCCTCTCTTGCCATTGTCCCCGCCCAGCTGACGAGTTCCCTGTCCAATTTCTCCTAGATTTCACGGAATGGAACAGCCTGCCCCAAGAGAAGCCTGCCTTTCTCTCTGTGCCTGGGTTCTTCTAAGTACCCTTTGATCCAGCAAGCACCCTCTTTCCTCTGCTCTCAAGCCATTCCTCCTTCCTCCTCTTCCGTCAGGCCAGGCGATTCACATTCAGCAATGATGGAGTTCGGTCACGGGCAGACTGTGGACAGAATGGTCTCCCTGGGGATGCTGCATCCGTGATCACGCGCGTTGCTGCCGGGGTTTCATCTTGCTGCATCTGGGGGCTCCTCTGGCTCAGCGGCTGTAAAACGGTCTTGGTTGCTTGTCCCAAAGTCCTTTCTTCCAGGGTGGCGCCCTGGATAATCCATTCATTCAATCTGGCCAGCAAGTGATAAAAGCAGGCTTTAGCAGGAATGAAAGCAAGCAGCATTACCTGTAAAAAAAAAAGGGGGGGGTCGACTTATCTTTACCAGGGACATTTCTTATTCCAGGCATTTATCCCTGGGGAAGGAGGTCGTGAGCCACACTTAGGAAAGTTCAATTCCAAAACACGGGCCTTGAATGCCAAGGGTTCTAAATGGGTGTGCAAAACGTTTTGATTGAAACCACCTCCAGCTCGAAACGCCTCTTTTCAACCATTTCAGGAGAGTTTGGCGCTTGAAACTCTCCAGAATTACTTGAAGAGTTAAGAATCTCAATGTTTTGCACACCCCTGCTTCTGCGTTTGCCTTCTGGCATCCCTGGGTTTGATTTGATTTTGAAAGGCCGTGCATCAGGCATTGAGATTAGGCCTCCTACAGTCTTTTACCATTGGCTGAGGCTGATGGGAGTTGGAATCCAAAGCATCAGGAGAGTCACTATCTTGCTTGCTCTCGTTCTACCCAGAGTAGAAAATATTGAGCTAACTCAGCGTTTTTCAAATTTGGCAACTATAAGATATATGGACTTCAACTCCCAGAATTCCCCAGCCAGCATGGAATTCTGGGAGTTGAAGTCCACACGTTTTAAAGTTGCCCACTTTGAAAAACACTGAGTTAAATGGTCCAATTGTCCTGTTCACTATCTGTTGTATTTTCCTTCCTACCATAATTGCCTCTCTGGAAAATAACTATTTTATAAATATCTCTGATTCTGTTGTGAGATTATATATCCTTCACTGTTGGGAAATCAGTTATGGTTGATTTTCTACCATACTTGTACCACGTCTCTAATGGAATAAGCATATATGTGAGATAACATATTTTTAGCAATATTCCTGAGTTTTAATTCCTTTATACCAATTCTTTTCAGACTCAAGTGAAGCGATCTATACTGGAGCTTTACACTGGAGATTTAGTTAGTGGCTTAATATATTTTTGTATATTAGCTGAAAACCTTGAATAGAGATCTGAGGGAATATACAAGATCGTTTTTCTATGACTACTGTATCGGAACTTCTAACAAACAGTGGGTAAAAGAAGAAGAAGGTGTAAAGAGTTACGTATCCTCACTTTCAGCCTCTGTTTTCCACTCTTGCAGGCTATAATATCAGCTTTAACCTGGGTCATTCCTTATTTCCAGCTAGCAATGCAAAACAATGGAAAAAGCTTCTCCTGAGTTAAATGCCCTAAGTTACATGGGAAAAATTGTGGAGTGTTGGAACAGGTGCTCGATCTACTGCAGGATTTGCTTTGTATATTTTGGAATAAACGAAGCAATACACATTACAGTCTAAAAAGGAGGAATGATATAAGACCTCTCAAATCTAGAACCCCAAATAACCCAACACCATTCTTTTATGGTATGAATGTAGGTGCTGCAGACGAGACTCCCTATATTTTGCTTGTGGAATTTGGAAAAGAGAGATGTTGAACATCTCCAAATCCATTTTCTTTGAGCGCTGCCAAAGGAAGGTCTTCTGCATTTGATACAGGCAAACGGTGTTGGGGAGGTACTTAACCCTTTTCTTGAAGATCAGGGTCCTGTCTCAGAATTCATCTTCCCAACTGCTGGATTCCAGAAAGGCAATGGACCCAAAAGATTTTGGCAGTTTGCTAATTGCAGATATGTTACAATTTTCTCCAGTTGGTTCCTGATGGAGGGTTAGAAGCAGGGTGGTCAGCCAAACAAGGCATGGCTTTTCCCTCTTTCCCTCCTTAAGTGTTTCCTTTGCTAAGAATGATGATGTAAGAAGTAGTTAGATGTGAAAGATTATATGATCTAGACCTCACCCTGTAGAGCTGAGACAGGAAGACTACACGCATACAAAATGCTTCATCTAAAAGGGCACGCTGACATTTTTATTTATGGAGAAATAAATCAAGCTAAGAATCCTTGACCATTCAGTTTCAAAGCTAGGGGCAATCTTTTGACGGCCTCTGGAAGGGGCATATTTCAGCTACATTAAATCTAACTTAATGAACAATTCCTATCTTCCCAATTATTGGTCCTTAGTGTGAAATTACTGTACTCCTGCCTTCCCCAACCCGTCATTCTCCAAATATGTTGGACCACTACTTCCATGGGGCTTAGCTGGTTGAGAATTATGGGAGCTGTAGTCTAACTTTTTGGAAAGGTCCTCCAGTTGGGCAAGGCTGTTTACTAAATAAGAAAGAAAAAAGAAAAACCCAAGTTGTGTGAGGTCTGTTTTTTTTTAGCCAGTTGTCAATATTTATCTTCTCTGTTGACTTCTTTTTAATGTAAACTTTTGCTTCCCGTTGTTCAAAGGTGGAGTTTTGCTATTAGCGCATATAGTTTACCTAAGCAGCAGGTGAAATTTTAGATGGAACTGAACTGTTGTTCTATGGAGTCCTTGGGGTTCTCTGAGCTTGGTTGTTTTCTTGCAAACGTTTCGTTACCCAGCTAGGTAACGAAACGTTTGCAAGAAAGCAACCAAGCTCAGAGAACCTCAAGGACTCCACAGTTCAGCCCTGAGCTACACATATTCTCTTCTGTTGTTCTATTTCCTTGATGACTTGTATGAAAGGTTGCTTTGGGAAGGCACCTCTAGGTCATTACAGAATGTTATTTTTGTTGCTTTGCTGTCCTTCTTTGCCAGTCTGTTTTCT